GAATCCTGAAAAATAAAATGTATCACAGCTTGCACAAACACATGCAGCACAACTGTGTTCAACATTGATACATTTTTGAATGGTAGAGTATGAATGCTTATTTTATTTCTCTTACAATATTGTAACATTTGGCAGCCCAATAAAATTATTAGTCTCAAATGGGATATTAAAAATTATAGTTGATTTGGGAGTTGGGAGCATGTCATTGGGAAAACATGTCAGATGCAATGGATACAGCATCTGTATTAATGGTAAATTTATTCAAATTATTGTTATGTTTTTGTAAACAACAAAACGAAATTGCGAAAATATAAAGTTTTTAACATTGATAATAATCAGAAATGTTTCTCGAGCAGCAGATCAGCATATTATACTGATTTCTGAAGATCATGTGACACTGAAGACTGGAGTAATGATGCTGAAAATACAGCTGCGCATCACAGAAATACATTACACTATAAATTATAATAATATTTCACAGTTTTTCACTGTATTTTTTAATAAATAAATGCACCCTTAGTGAGAACAAGAGAGGCCGAACACATGAGAGAATCGACACAGAAGCCTGATCAATAATCCATCAGTGTCTCTATTGACGAGTCACTTACTAGACACTTTATCCAGAGTGTTTTCCGCTGGTTTCTCCTCCTCAGTGGTCAAATTGTCCAGTAACTCTCTAGTGGGACTGGGTAAAGATGGCTCTCCTAGGAGAAAACAACACAAAAGCACATTTCCTGTCAAACAGTTCGGAAACACATGAATCACGTTATAAAGCTACTGCTTGAATGACTGAGTGAGTTTGTAAATAAATATAAAATTAGCCACGAATTTCTGCACAAAACAAACATTTAAATTAATTCTGTCAAGCTGTCAAACTCCAAAAGGGGAAAACAAGGTGAATTGTGACCCTGGAGCACAAAACTAGTCATAAGGGTCCATTTTTTTTAATTGAGATGTATACATCATCTGAAAGATGAATACATCAGCTTTCCATTGATGTATGGTTTGTTAGGATAGAACAATATTTGGCTGAGATACAACTATTTGAAAATCTGGAATCTGAGGGTGCAAAAAAATCTAAATATTGAGAAAATCATCTTTAAAGTTGTTCAGATTAAGTTCTTAGCAATGCATATTACTAATCAAACATTAAGTTTTGATATATTTACGGTAGGAGATTTACTAAATATCTTCATGGAACATGATCTTTACTTAATATCCTAATGATTTTTGGCATAAAAGAAAAATCAATCATTTTGACCCATAGCGACTCCAGGGACACATTTGTTAAGAAATCATCTTTTTGTGCTGGTGTTTGTTTGACCTGTGCAGGGAGGAAGCTTGCAGACGGACACGGACTCGGGTTTGTCTGCGTCACACTGTCCCGAGCTGCCTTCAGACGGCCTGCAGATGACCTGCCGCTGCTGGATCCCTTCACCGCAGCTCACCGAACACTACAGGAAACACGTCACATTCAGACAGATCATTGGGATGAGCGCTAGAGGAGATCTGTGTGTGAATATGTGTGTTACTGTCACATGCTTGATCACATCAAACTCGCAGTGAGCCGATATTACCACTTTAAAAATAACTTTGTATTTAGAACCACAAATTTAGTTATTTACCATTTATTTAACATAATTTCTATTTCTATTTAATTTAATATTCATAAATGAAACTTTACAATTCCAAATCTTGCTAATTATTGAACTTAAATCAGTAGTGTGCATGTATGTGTATTTAATATTTTAATACTTAAAAATAATAACAATATTAGAAATAGAAATAAAAAAAATACATTTCTAGAAAGCAATACTAACTCGCAGGTAAAAATGTCAAACTCAGGAAATTGTGGCCTTACAATGACAAATATTATAAAATATACAAAAATAATTGTTATTAAATACAGATAATTTTTTTTATCTAACAATAAAAATAAAAATAATTGGAATTGGAATTTTAAAAATGTATTACAAAATTATTACATTTAGAAATTAAACTTTTCAATAATAAATCTTAAATGCAAATTATTTATTTAAACCAGTAGTGTATTTGTGTATGCATTTATTTAATATTTGTAGCACCTAAAAAAAAACAATACCATAAATTAAGCTATAAATGAAACATTTCTAGAAAATAATACTAAAGTATACTACTAAAATTTATAAATTAAACCTAAACCAAAAACATACAAACTAAATAACTAAACAGATTTATGATGCACATGCAATTTATAAATACTCATATAAATATAATAAATACATCTTAAATATACTAATAGATGTAATTTATTAAATTTATTTTATTGTATTTTCATTATTCCTATTTTTATGGTTCTATTTTAATAATATTTAAATGTATTTACTGAATTAACTTAAATATTTATCTTATATTTCTGTTATGTGATTATCATCTAAATTATTCTCAGTGTCTCCTTATCTCTTACATGCAGTGTGA